ACATAGAAGGTGGAAGTAGAATGAGAAGGGAATCCCTGATTCACATAGTTTGGTGTATTGATTCTTCACTTCCCATGGAAGTCAACTTTCATCAATCTGGTGGAAGTTGGCTTTCCCTAGCTCCATAATGGAAACTCACATGCGATGACCATTTCACCCTTCCTTAGGTTGATCGGTGTTAGGGATTGAAGGAACACCACTTGCTTTAATTTGCTACAATTTTCTTAGGTCAGAATGAAATTCCAACTTTCAAATAGCTGGGCGAAACTGCATTCTACTTACCTTGTCTATTTTACATTTCTTGTCTAGGACTGATGCTGCACTGGATTATTCAAGTAGCCTCATCATTTGATACCTCCTTGAACCAAATCACTGTCATGTCATACAAGAAAATTTTACTTAGTAAAAAGGATATAAATTGAATACTGTGATCCTTTTCTAAATTGAATACTGTGATCCTTTTCTAGTAATTTCTTTATATAAAATTCATGTACTATTAATACCCTTGGATCCCTTCCTTATAGACTCTAGCTGTATAATTTTTTTTTTGCTTTGCATATGATTGATCGTTTTTTATTTTTGGGGGCGGGGGGGAAGACAACGGTTCCTTGGCTCTTCGCGCTGAAGACGACAATAATGTCATTCTAGGCTGCTCATTTCACACCAATACAAGCGATAATTTGCGATCCTGGTTTTTATAGGTCTCTTGAACTGATCTGGCTCACTGGTTTGCACGATTTGCTCCAATTGCCATGTTTAATTTGATGCATCACCAATCTGGCTCAATGAGTCTCTCCAACTTGTTCGATTGGATTTAAAGTTAATCTGGGCTTATAAAATGTTGAAATCTGGTATTAAAAGTGCCTAACCCATCTGCGTGATTTCCCATTTTGTTTATCTTTGTTTGATCTCTAATTTCGTTTTGGTGTGGATTGAGAGGTTTTGTATACTGATAGGCACTGCAACTTTAATATTTTAATTTTATACAGTCACTACAAAAAATTGATTTTGAGCAACAATAAAGTCAAAAAGGAAAGTCTTTCGCAGCAATAGCAAAGTTGTTATCATAGCAACTATCACTAAAACTTATTAGTGGCGACAAAAAGAGTTGTCGTTGACCTTTCAGCGGCCACAGCAAAGTCACTGCTGCAGAAGGCCCTATGAGCAGTGACAAAATGTCACCGCTGAAAGTGTTGACATCACCATCAGTTGGCCACCAACCGCCGCCACATCACTGCCGATCGCCCACCAGGTGTCGCTACATCACTCCCATCTCACCTATGCCACGTGTCCACATGTTGACACGTCATGTCACCACTGGATATTATCACATAAATATGGCCCTTTCATGGTTTGAACTCCTGACCTCCTTCTTCTGCGTCTCTTCATCTTGCCGTTGAGCTGAAATGAATTTGGTGATAATTATTGTAAAATCAAATATATATAATAGTAATAAAATATTAAAACAGACTTTCAGTAACGACATACCCTTTAGTGGTAACCAAAAATGTCGTTGCTGAAAGTGTCCTTCGGTGGTGACTTTTATTAAATATAGTTAAATAATAATACTATTATTAAATATTTATATTTAATTTTGTTAATTGATTAAAATATTTATTTATGATATCCATTCTGTATAAAAAATATAATTCATACAATATTATTTGTTATGTTTTTTATTCCCAATTATTTAAGCTATTATATTATCTATTTTCATATTTATATTTATAATTATGAAATATGAAAATAGTATATAAAAATAATTAAATTTAATTATACATTTTATCATGATTATTTAACTCTCACACACACACATAATTATAATATCTCACTTTCATATACACTCATTCCTTTTTCCTTCCCTCTTTCTTACTCTCACACACCATATTATCTCTCTAACCCTTACCTCTCTTTCTAACACAACAACATATAAAAACACTTTATTTTGTCATAACAAATCATATTAATGAACAAAATTATTGTCCAAATATAATATTTTTTTATAAAAAACACTTAAAATAATAATAAAAAGTTAAAATAGACTTTCAATGGTGACAAAAAATGTCGCTACTGAAAGTGTCCTTCGGCGGCAACATGTTGAGTCCCTGCTAAAAGCTTGTTTCAGCAACAATAGTTCTTTTCAGTGACAATATTAGGAGTCACCGCCGAAAGTCTCACTTTTAAAAATTGACCTTTAATGATGACTCTGCAATGTCACTGCTGAAAGTACTGCCACCACTGAAAGTAAGAGCTGAAAGTCGTCACTGAAAGTCCTTTTTTTTTTTTCTGTTTTGCAGTGAATATTTCAGTTTAGTTTCATAATTTTATAAAAAGTTTTCTCAAGTCCTCTAGATCAAGAAATATTTAGAAAAGTTATTATATTGATATTGAATTTTTTTTAATGAAAAGATAATTACGCATCAGTCCACAAAATAGTAACATACAAAACGACCTAGAAATGTATGTATATCATGAAGTAGGTAAGACAGCAGCCAGGGGACCACTGTAGGGCGCATAATGAGTTTAGCATGGGTGAGCTTTATAAGTTTACAGCATAAGGGAAAAGTTTGAGGGTCCTTAACAGCAGTTTGATGTAGAATGAAGATAAGACCATTGCGGAGGGCTTGGAGTTGAAGCAATAGCGGACCGCTTCTGGTGGATGGTGTGTGAGTCCAAGATCTAAAGAGAGTGCCGTTAAGATACAGTCAAGAATAAATGATGGCTTGATGTCGATTGCCCATGCATAAATGAAATGAGAAGAACTAGCAGCCATAACAGATGGAATCTACTATTGCTGTAGTACAAGATTTGGAATTCTGCCCGTTGAAGGGGTAGTAAGATCGTGTTTAGGACTTTCGCTTGCGTCGGTGTGTCTAGATGCTTGTGATGAAGCCAAAGCAATGAGTTGGTGTGGGGAAATTTTTCTTCTTGCATGACTCAATTTGTTCCTGGCAAACCAAGAAGCATGAAATATATAGAAAGGTAATTTATAAAGAAAATCATCTACATTAGATGGGTTAAGCAACCAGAAATATAGCCATTGAGTGACGTTCCAGGAAGGATAAGAATTAACATGATAACTCAGGTTAGAGACAAAACAAACTGCTTTGGACAGAAGACGGTGAAGGAACAAGTGTTTTAAAGTTTCATCATTAGAATAACAGAAGAAACATCCGTAGTTGTCAAAAGTGCAGTACCATAGGTAAATGAGATGCGGGTAAAATAACTTGTGCAGTTTTCTAAAGAAAGCACTTGATTTTTCAAAGTTGGATTTTCAAAAGTAGGGAGCTCCCCAGAATTGATATTGAAAGTTAAAATGTTGATAAAAACATTCTCAAATGTCAATAGACTACCTTCTGTTCTTAAAATAAAATCTACTTAAATTACAAAGTGGACCGTATATTAAGAATCAGAAGTAATATTAAGTTAAATTTTACTTCTAATCTTATTTCTCATGAATACCTGACATCTTGATCTTTTTAGTAGTGTAATTTTACTCATAATTTTTTTTGTGCAATTTTACACATGATTTTTTAAGAACAATTTTACCATTGATCTTTGGATGCACCAAAATAAAAAAGATCATAGATAAAATTATACCACTAAAAGATTGAGGTCACAAGAAATGAATAAATTATTATTTAAGACTAATACTGTTATGATTAAATAACTGGAAATATACTTCATAATATTATTGGATGAAAATGAGATCTTGTATATTATTAACAAACCCAATTACTTTTCATGTAGGTCTATCCTAATCCAGGGAAACAAATTAATGCCTAAGAAGCTAGTGGCTATTAACCGTAAATAATCAAGGGCACATGGAAATAAACGCACATATATACAAAAATAAAATAGCAATGAAATTAATAACAGAAGTATATGCCCTAATCCATTTTTATTAGACATGATGATTTAGAGTAATTAAGAATGCATATGAAAAGTTGAAGAGACTCCAAGAAAAAAAAATCAAGTATAACAGAATTGATAAGGCATATATAATTAAAAGTCTTGAAAACATTTTCCATCCTAGAATTGAATCAATCGGTATATCTTTCTGAATCAAATAATTAACAGACTAAGGTCCAAATAAATATTTAATTTATATGACTTTTTAGAGCTAACCGTATAAAGTTAAAACTTATATAACCACATGTGATAAGACGAAAACATCTGTTTCTCTTGATGGGGCGTTACATTCAGAAGTAAAGCAGCTAATAAGGTGAATACTTTCTTAGAAAAGTTCCAAATATAGGAAAAAGAAAGTAAAATGAAAGAAAAGACTGATGATTATGATACTTCAAACATCAAAGTAAAATAAAGGGACGAAAGCAAATCAAAACAAGCTACTAAATCTAAACCAGAAGTTAAAAATGGTAATTTTTACCAAAAATAAGCATACAATTTGAATGTAAGACAGTTAAAGGAAGATATATATACACACATACACACACTGGGTGAATGTGAAAATGTGCTATCGTAAGCCAATTAAATGAAAGCGATGATACCACAAAACAAAACAAAACACCCACCAAACACTTCGGTTTCTTTCCCTTGCTCGTCACTCAATTTGGTTTCTCTGGGTCCCACGAGTCGTACGGAAAGTTTGGACTCTCTGTTTCATATTGAGACACGAGTCACAGTGTTCCCTCTCATCCAATCAAACCTCGACAACGCAATGTCCTTCCCGCACACATGGCTTCCACTTTCCAATCCTGAAATGACAACTCACTGTACTAAAACAAAAACCTTATTTTTTCTTTCTTTCACGCTTTGTTCTTTCCTAAACCTATTTCTTTTTCCTTTCCGAAGCCATCACTCACAAAACAGTTTTACTCATTTCCTCCACAGTTTATCAGCACAAAAATAGAAAGATGCCCATGTTATAAACACCATTCGTTCCTTCTTTAAGCGTTCTCCGCTTTTCCTTCTTCCTTTATTTCCCTCTTTAGGGTTTCTTCTTTTGCTGCTTATCTGTACTGGGTTCTCTGAAAACTTTCCTTTCTTCTCTCTCTGACAATAATTGAGAAGAAGGAGAAGAAGATGGGAAGGGGTAGGGTCGAACTGCGGCGTATTGAGAACAAAATCAGCCGTCAAGTGACGTTTTCAAAGAGGCGAAGTGGACTGTTCAAGAAAGCTCAAGAAATCTCTGTGCTATGTGATGCTCAAGTTGCTGTGATTATCTTCTCCACCAAAGGCAAGCTCTTTGAGTTCTCCTCTGATTCCAGGTTTTCATTCTTCTCTCTCTGATCTCATCGTTAAATTGATCTTTCTTCTTTGAGTTTCCTCACACACAAAATGAACTTGTAGATCTTTCTTCATTTGCTTGTTCTAGATCTTACTTCTTGTCATCTGGGTATATCTGCTAGTTTATATGTGCGTATATGTTCATCATCATCATCAAGTTACCAAGCTATATCTATCTTGCGTTGTGAAATCCTTTAATTTATTTTCATCTGTCTTTTATGTATTTTCTTGGGCTTCATTGTTTTTGTAATCTTTCTCTCTTTGTTTCGAACTGAAACAAGTAATATTAAGTTTAGACTATGCCCGCTAGTTTTGTCCGAAATTTTCTTTTAACTATTTATTAGTTGTTGCAACTTTGATAGGCAAGTATACAGTTCTTCAATTATATAAGATGGGGCATTCAAAGATTCCAATGATATAAATTAATGAAGTTATGTCTGAGATCTGGTGTCATGCTTAGCCCTATAGATATGCATTTTGTAGATTTGGTATTTTTTCCCCATCTATAAATTATAAATTATAACTATATAGATATATGCCTAGACGTATGATTATAACTAATTAGAGAGATCCCCTAGAGCATTGCGTATATAGGGGGTTATGTAGCTATGCTTGGTGTAATAACCTAGTATTTGGTGATTTATCCAATATTGCTACTTCATGCCTAGTCAAGAGGAGGCCACTATTTTAAAATATACATTTAGTTTTGATTTTTAATTTGTTGATGGATAGGTAAATAGAAGGGAAAAAAGCGTTAGATTTGCCCTAAATTATACCCATAGTTCTATGAGAATTAGGGTTTTCGATTAGACAGAAACGTAAGGTTCCCAGTACTGCACATTGATTTTGACCGGTAGTTATTACATGTTACAGAGTTATACAAATAATAATAATTTTTTCAAATCTAAAACTATTTAGTCATGCTAACATGCTTACAACTAGAATATGAAATTCATATTTTATACCAACTCTAAAAATAAATCTGTTCTTTATGATTTATGACTAATAAAATTTTTTAAATAACTTTTTATATTAAATATAAATATATTGAACATAAATATATGTTATTCTTATTATTGATATCCTTAAAGTTATTATTTCTGTTTTAATGTTGATATATAAGATACAAAACATCTCATAAGCAACACATTTTATCCAAGACAGTTTTGACAGGATTGACCAATCACTCCTAATTTATCAAACAATCAATTTTTTTTGGACTGAAATCAAACAATCAATCATTAATCAACCAAAATATCAATATAAAAGTAGACCGGACGAGAACTTGTTATTTCACTATTTATTTATTATTTATTCACATATATGTTATAATATATAAGAAATTTTGGAATGTCAGTTTGTGAGCATGCTTATTTTTCGAATTATTAACACATTTGAAAGTACATAGTGAAGACTACCAGTTCCTTTGTAGCAAAACCAACTTAATTTGGCCAAGTACTTAATACCATACTTAAAGGAGATAGCCACTTGTGTCCTTTCATTGTTTCAAAAATGAAAACAGGATAACAGATTGCCTTAATACCCTCTTTTTTGTACTCTTTTTCTCAAATCCCAAAAACTAAATGTTTGCTATTAAATGAGGCAGTAAATTTAAGATTTTAATATATATATATATATATGTGTGTGTGTGTGTGTGTGTGTATAAAGACGCAGTACAGTTCTCTTAATATGGAATATATAAAGACCAGTACAGTTCTCTTAACATGGCGTACGGAAACAGTGTATTTTAATTCCTAGTGGAATTGATAGGTGTGAGCCATTTTTAATAAAGTCAAATGAGTTATTTGTTTGCAATGTAGTTTGAAATAAGAATCTGATTTTTATTGCTGCACTACCATTAGAACCAAAATTTATAACCAATTCATGATTTAATGAATGAAGTTAAGTGGTCTTTAGGGGCAGAGCAAGAATGATAATGTTTCCGGGAAAATTAATGTTTTCGGTATATATAATACACATTTAGTATCATGCTTTTCCATTTATCTCATTCTCAGCTTTTCAAATCACACTTTAACCCCAAAAAACAACCCTTAGTTTGCTTTCTATCCAATTCACTTCTATGTGTCATCAATAATCAATATCAAGCAATAACTCAGTTATTATTAACATAAATAATTAAATTTATACTAGAGAGTTACTATTCAAAAGTTGTGAAGAATGTGGCTCCTCGTTTGAGCTCCATGCAATACATCTACCTATTTAGGTTAATTTTTTTAAAAAAAAATTATATATGAACGAGTTAGGAATGGAAGCTAATTATTATTTAAAAAAAAGTCAACTTGTATAATAAAGTCACACTATTATTCAGAAGTTGTGAACAATTTAGCTGCTCCTTTGGACTCCATGCAGTGGAAGCACTTCTCAAATCCAGTTAAAATTTTTCTATTTTCTTTTATTTTTTGATGAATAACTTGAGTCTGAGGAATGGAAGCTTGTTTCGAACTCAAATTAATGAATTTAATCTTGAAATTAAGTTTTTTAATTCAACAAATAATTTAATGAACAATTTGCCACATAATAAGGCCTTTTTATTCTCTCACAAATATGCTGTCATCAATAATGTTCTAGTATATAATGATCACTAACCCAACAACACATGAAAAAGATATTTATGCATAAAGATATCATTGATGATGGTTACTCCTCTGGTCCTTAATGTAATACCTACTTAACTTACTGGAGTAGATTAAGAATGTTAGTTTAGATTAGTTAATATGATATATTTTTTTATAAAATACCCTAATCATCTTCCTTAATTCTCTATCTTTCTCTCCTAATTGATTTTTGTTGAAAGAATATCAATAGGGTTAATTTGAAAAAAATTGATGAACATGTGAAATAAACTTTATATATAGAACCAACATCAACTCTCAAGTTAGGTCCAACATTAAGGATCAGAGGAGTATATTCATAAGGATTAAGGTAAGAAATATTCTTATTTGGGGAATTAAATTAAGCAAAAATTCTATGATAGACTAAATCAACAATATAATTATTACGTCCATGAGTAATTAATTAAGAAAACAATTACATATAATACTTTCTCTCTCTCTATATATAGTTCTATTAGTGAGAGATCAATATGGGGTTTAGTCTATGAATATTTATACTCCTCCGGTCCTTAATATAAGACCCATTCAACAAATTTGATTAGATTAAGGAAGTTAGGTAAGTTGGTTAATTATAAGAAAAGTGACACATTTTTCCTAAAATACCATAATCATCTTTCTTAATGCCCCATCTCCCTCTTCTACTTAATTATAGTTGAGAGAGTATCTATAGGAGTAATTTAGAGAAAATTGATAAATATGAGAAATGGGTCTTATATTTAGGACCAAAACCAATTTAAGAATTGGGTCCTATATTAAAGATCGGAGGAGTATATTATATCTAATTATTTGTATGTATAATCTTCACTCAACTCATTAAGTTTCAGGGCGTGAGGTGTTGGTAGAGATTGTGACTTCAAATCCTAGCTATTAAGATATTATCTAGTCTGTACTTCAAATTCAATTGCAAACTAAATTTTATATTAAAAATCAGAGCTAGTATTTTTTTTTAACCAAAAAAAAATCATTAAGTCCTATGCTGCTTCATGTGTAATCTTCAAGGAGCTTAATTATATGAGTGGAGCTTGACAGCTCCTATTTATTTAAATAAACTAAGCATGTTTATATATATTGTTCAGCTCAATCAATTTCCTGGCAAAACAAGCTAACCTGAACGGGAAATATCATGACTTGTTTACTGCCCTAGCTAGGTCTAATGATGCCCTATATCCCAATATAAGCAATTGAACAAATAAAAATGTGAATGAATGAGAAAACTTTAACCATGGATCTTAATTAATCATTTAATAATTATATATGAAGGAAATGGACGAAAAGTCATACAGGGATTAATGCATGGAACAACCTTGGCTGTATGTCTGGGACCACTTAATTTAGGCATTTCCACTCCGTATATAAGTTTTTAAATAGGAGGCCTATCGTTTTGTCAGATATGATTCCATGGCAAATTTTAGGTTTCACTGTTGTTTTAGTCCCGTGAGATTTACCCACTAGTACTCCCTCGGATCTTAATAATAGAAGCCAAATAACTGATTTATAGATATTAAAAAATTCGGTAAATTAGTTATTTACAAAATAATGTGTATTGGTTAAGACACTATTTTTAATTAATTGCATTAAAATTATCTCATTAATGGAACTTTCCTTTAATGTGTAATCAAGAAGAATAATTTAGGAAAAAAATTTACGTTTGAAAGTCAAAACAAATTGAGGTTTCCTTTTAGAATCAAAATAAACTATTCAACTATCTTCTATATTTATGACCAATTTGGTTTTTTAATTTTTTTCATATCATTTTTAAATGTGAAACTTACTCAAATGTAACGAGGCTTTGTTAACTCCTTTTTATCCCAAGTCCAATCAGCATTTGGGCTTAATTTATTTATTTCTCTATGCTAATGTTCTTTTAGTCTCAATTAGGGACTTTAGTCCATCACCTTTCTTTGTTGCCTGGGTTTGTACATTAGAGTATCGTTCTACAATTTTTGAATGCGTATTGGATCTTGTAGTTGTTATGCCTTTTCTATTTTTTTTTTTGTTTCTATGATACTATGTTGATTTTTTGTGTGGACTGGTGCTTAACTATTCATATATCACTTAGCTATTCTAAATTTGTTGTGTTGTTTACTTGGATGATCTTTTATGCACCATACCCAAAACTTAATTGACACATTATAGGTATTTTCCACAACATGTAATTTTAAAAATATAAAAGTATATTTTGTAAAATTATAAAATTAAGGGAAAATGGAAAATAAAGACCCCTTAATATGTAAAATTGTGATTTGGGACCCTTAATTTGAAAAATAGCAAATAAAGACCCAGTCTTATATTGCAAATATGAAATTTAGTGAAATGTCTGAAATGCCCCTCGACCAAATGACAAGTTGATTATGGAAAATGAAAAATTCATTTTAGTGAATAACAACTTTAGTAGACCAAATCACAATTTGGCTGAAGGTATACCAAATTACAAGTTCATTATGGGAAATGACAAGTTCACTTTAATGAATAACAACTTTAATAGACCAAATCACAATTTGGCTAAGGGATATTTCAGACATTTCGTTAAGATTTTATATTTACATTATGAAACTGGGTCTTTATTTACCATTTTCCAAATTGAGAGTCTCAAATCACAATTTCATATATTGGGGGTCTTATTTGCTATTTTTTCTAAAATTAAACAATATATATTTAGAAGTTAGGAAAAAAAAAGTTTAAATACTTTGAATTGTGCGAATTAGGCTTCTCAGGGTAAGTTTCATAGGTCAGAATGATGCACATGATGAGATGGGCAATAAAATCTAAAGGTCAAACCGTAATAGATATTAAAGTCATATCAGATGCCATGTCATGTCTGATACATATATGCAAAACATCCACATTTGCTGAGTGCCCAATCTCTTTACTTGCTTTGGAAAATAATTTGAATCAAAATTTAGAATATGCAATAGCCTAAGTAACTATGAAAGAGATCTGGTAAAAAAAAAAAAGAAGTAACTATGAAAGAGATGAGTCAGCATGGCAAATATCAACCTGATCATAGAACGTGAGGGGGAAAAACAATGAAAGAAGGAAACATGACATCTAACCAATGATCTCATGATTTGGTAGCATGAAAACTTCTACATAAATGGGAGATAACAAGTATGATCCCGCTTACCTCAAGCAAGTAGTGTCTCCCTCTGATTTTTTTTGGGGGGGGGGGGGTTGCGGGGGGAATAACATCTATAAGTTGGAGTAGGACTTGTTTTCTGAGTTGATTTGGTGATTTGAATTATCTTCCCTCTCTTTTCAGATGCAACACATATATATAGCTTGGTTCGGTGTCTTTTCTTTCTTCATGCCTCTAATCCTGTTTTTTTTTCCCCTCTAACTTAGTAGAATGAAAGTTTTTATATAAGTGGAAGATCGTACGATTTTACTTATATTAGTGGAAGATGACAAACAATTAGTGACTACTTGAAAAAACAAAAGAAGTATGAGGTCTATAAGTTGGAATAGGACTTGTATTCTGAGTTGATTTGGTGACTTGGAATCTGTCATTTCTCTCTTCTCGGATGCAGTATGCAACCGATACATAAACGGCTCGGTTTAGTAGTGTATACGTTTACCTAAAATGCTTGGTTCCTTGGCCAAAAATTTTAAAAAAGCTTGGTTCCTTCTTCTTTTTCTTCTTCTTGTTCAATTTTTTTTTTTTGGGCTTCACTGCATTCTGTCTCCACTTGATCCTCAATCCTCTGCCAAGAAAACAGTTCTTATCAGAATTGTGATTATTGTATTCGTTATTTCCTCTGTTGCCTGAGTACCGATGAATTATGTATAATGGCAATTATGTCGTTAAACTAAAAATGTTGGAGGCAAAATGCGCTACTAAGCTTAGGTATGTTTTACATGGATTTGGATTTAGGTTAGATTGAATGTGGTCAAAAACTGTTATTTCTGTGTTACCTAAAATAGTTGTCGTTTTGGTTGAAAACGTCTATTTCTGTGTTACCTAAAACCCTCTTTCCAAAACCTCTATAGTGGCAAAACATGCAGTACAACATTAAATCATATTTCTCTTCCATATTTATTTATTTTTCCTAAAATAGTGCTCATAGTATGTTAAAAGGTTTTGCATTCTAATGCACATAATTAACAAATATATTTTAGGAAAGGTAATAGTCATTTATTATATAAATAACTAACTTAATTAATTTTTTTAATATTCATAAATTAGGTGTCTAACTTTTATATTAAGAGGTAGTATTACACTTTTTCAGGAGGACCCAAAAAAAAAACAAAAAACTAAATCGGTGTCTCTAAGCTTCTCTGGGAGACATCTTTTCATTTTCACAGTATTCATTTCTTATCTTTAGGGCTATCTACTGGAATTGAATAACTTGTACGTTTTGAAATACTACTATTGCACAAGTCCTCTCATAGTTTATAAAATAATTTTTTTTATTTTTTTGATACATATTCAAAACAAAGTTTAAATTTATTTATTTATTTTGTAAATTATAATAATAATAATTTTATGAAACATTAAACCTCAACAGTTCGATTTTCAATTCAAAGGTGGAGATGGGATGAGGAGAAAACAGAGAGAAATGATCCCTTCATGTGTGGTAAGCCATAGCAGCTATAATGGCGTGGCATACAAAACATGTCCTAACATTAAGGTCTAGTGAAAGGGATTGGTCTCTCACAACTTGATGAAGCAAAGTTCGAATTCCTGTGGAAGAGGTGTTCGCATTTAATACCTGACAGTGCCTTAAATAAGATTGTCTTCAATAGGAAGATATTTATGCCAACAAAAAACATGTCCCAACATTATTTTCTCTATTAAAAATGCAATGAGGCTTGTCCCAACACCTGAAATAAAAGTTCCTTTCTGCAAAACTACTAATTTAGAAAATGACGTACGTGCCGTAATAATATTTTATTGTACTTTGCCATATCGTTGATATTTTTCAGCAATTAGTTTTTAAGCTATATTACATATGCTTGCTTAACGCTCTGTTTCTTATGCTATGTCATTGATACTTATATTAGACTAGTGCCCATCATTTGAAGTGGAACTTCCGTACATAGAGCCGATAAGAATTGGAAAATTCGGAAAAGCCATATGGGTGATTGGTTCAATTGATTTACACCTTTTGTTTCATTTTTTGTTATTGATACAAATTCCCCCCTCCTTTACGTCCATATATTAATTTGTTAAGATCCAAATAAAGTTTGTAATTTTCATTTTGTGGAGCAGCTTGGATGGCATTCTGGAACGATATGAGAGACAGACGCACACAGAACAACTTGCTGAAGCTAACATCGAATCTCAGGTATTAACATCAGTTGCCTTTCTTCTGTTGAACTGGTTCCTGCCAGTTTGATGAGGAAGAAAAACAGACATTCCAGAAGCTTCATGCCTTCTTCTCCCTTTAATTTTAAATATATGAACTAGATAACTAATTTATATATATTAAAAAATTAGTTAAGAAAGTGTGTTAATTTTTCTAAAACACATTTTTTTAATCATTTGTATTAGAAACTACTCCCTCAATAAAAACATTCTTAATATATATGTGCAATCAAAAAAGAGTTTAGAAAAAAATTATAAATTTGATTGATAAAATGAACTAAGGCGTTATTACATTTAATACTACAATAAATCCTTTACTACCTCTTACATTTAGCATTGGATAATAATGAAATTTTGTTGGCGATGTTATAAGTGTGACATTATTTTTAAATCAATGTACAAAAGTTAATTAAATCTCAATGGCATCATGCACAAACATTTGACGATCTTATAAATGTGACATTATTTTTAACACATAGGGATTATTTACAATGATGAACCAAAAAACTCGTAACATGAGAACCAAACATCTTAGAAATCAAAATATCTCAAAAACAAATTACAGGAATATGCAACAATTGTTGCTTCTTAAAATTATCATTGTGTTCTAAAAAGCAAAACTTTGTTTTTGCCAGTGTTTGCAAGTTTTATCTTTTCTCCAGATGATAATAAATTTAAAATATTTTCAAGATATCAAAACGATCGAATTATAACTGTAAAAAGAAATATGAATAGTAGTTGAAAAAATGTTGATGAAAACTTGTTCCTAAGGTACTTCTTACAGATTTTGGTTTTTAAGATTGACTGTCAATTTTGTGAATTTTAGATTTTCAAGTGCCATATATTTTCCTGTTTATTGACCATGACGTACTTAATTTGAATCCTTTATATTCGATATAAATAGACAAAATATAATTAACCAACAATAATCCAAAAAAATTATTTTATTGATGTAATCTCAATTTATGCCCACATTACGTAGCGCCTATGAATATAAAAGTCTCCTATTGAGTAACAGATGTCGGTTTTATGTTATTCATTAATTGATTTTTAAGCAATTTCATATTACTCTAACATCCATATTTAATTTAATTTGAAGAGGCAAGGTAAGTTGGATGTTATAATTCTCAATATATAGAAGATCATTTGATTGTTGTTCTCTGTAACTCTCCTAAATCATTTGTATAGGGAAACTTGTCCTTGGAGTTCTACAAACTTACCACCAAGGCTAAAATCTTGGAGAAGAACATTAGGTACTCACACCTAACATTTACTCTCAGCTATGTACTCCATTTTTTTCCTCAAGAAAAAGTTAGATCTCTCATGTTACGTTTTTTTCAAGGGAAAAATTGGTATTTTGGGTAAAATTTAGCTGTTTAATTAATGTGAATGATTTATATTTGTCTAGTTTAATCTTTATCTTTGATAAAAGAAAAAATTATGGACAATCTAAATTGAATGCACGGATGATATTAACTCTAAATGAGTCTTTCTTTTGCCTATAAAGTCTTGCATTTAACACAAAAATACCTATATACTGGATATGATAAACTTAGACCTTTCAGTTTTTAAATGATTTTTGTAGGCTTTTTCCACAATTAGATTACTATAACATAATTAACTCTTATGAATGGATCAAATGTGTTACCAAGATAAAGGAAGATCAGCTTTAGCCTTTCTTGTGAAATCGTACAGTCTAAACACAAATTATGAATAAAGAGAATATAATAACAGAAATATATATATATATATATATATAATTAATCTTCCACGTAGGAACTATGGAGGACATGATCTTGATATCTTGAGTTTGAGAGAGCTTCAGAACTTGGAGCAACAGATCGACACAGCTATGAAGCGTATTCGAACAAGAAAGGTAAATAATAGAAGAGAGACAAGGTTAATTAATTTAACTAGAATTATAAAAATAATTATATTAGTTTCTATTTGGTACATGATTGAGTGGTCATTTTTATTGACGCAGAACCAAATGATGAATGAATCCATCTCGGAGCATCAGAAGAAGGTATGTGTCATAAAACTGATATTATTTTGAATTGGTACAGAGGTTGAAATTGAACTTAAATGGACATAATTTAATTTGTAGCAGAATAAACTATACTTCCAATTGAATTTCTCGAAAGCATCCTATTCTGAACTGTTAACTTAATCATTATATTCCCGCCATCGCATTTTATAAGTCACCTTTTAGGAGGATTTTTGTATATCATTTTATAAGTTATTTTGCAGAATATTAAGTATAGTTGATGTGTTAATCCGGAAAATATTCCTGACAAATAAAAAAACAATTACTTAACCCCATTAATTTAGTTCAATCCCCATCAATGAACAGTATGCTTAGAAAGAATTGAATTTTCAGACGCATATGGTTAAAAATCATCACTTGTAACGTTGGAGAGAATAGCCAAGAGTTTCAGTGTTTCACTGTTTGGAGGTTTTTTATAATATTTTTATAGCGTTTGAGGCTAAAGATTTAAAATGCTCTTTGAAATTTGCAATTATAAGTACAAAAGAATCTAGACCATGATGTCAGTGTTCACGTGTCAAAACTCTGTTTAGGAATCACTGGTCAGTGGTAACACACTTCTCTGTGGACTTACTCTGGATATGGCGTATTATTATGTGAAATGCTTAAGAAGATTCGGTGACATCATATTTGCATATATTTACTTTTTTTATTTAAACTTATCATCAAAGATTTGTTCATTCTTATATTGTTTTTCACATATTATTTCATAGTGTGACAAATGTTCAAAAAGTAACACGTAGCATATAACAAGTCCAAATTGGGTTGTCCCTGATCAAAAACAGATCAAATCCGAAGGTCAGAAAATGACAAAAAAAAAAAACAGATCAAATCCTGACTTATGCTTGTGAACTGTATTTACCCTTACCATTTGAAGATGGTTTCTGCATAATGAATAATAATATTATTATGGAGAAAAAAAGACGAAGAATAATAACGTCGTGAGTAGATTCCAATATAACTCTCTAGTGTGCACATGGCAGGCAAGGGCATTGCAGGAGCAAAACAACATATTAGCAAAGAAGGTAGAATTCACATATTCTACTAATAATGTTAATTATGCGATCTCATGTAAGTTTTGTTGAGATTTATATAGATCTTTCTTTCTATTTTCAAACTAATAAAAATATCTCAAAATGTTACCGACAAAACAATTTCAGCAAAAATTAGGAGAATCTTTTGTTGTTTTTACTCTTTATTTTCACTAGAAATTTAAGTTTTCCTTCTAAAATAAAAGGTCTAGCTCTCTAATTCAAGCAAACCTTAGAGGATTTTTGTATAAATTTTTTCCCCTTAAAAATCATTTGTATTATTTTTCAAAAATTGAAAAATATTCATAGTTTCCAAAATTTGGAGAAAAATAACCCCGTAATCCACTCATTATAGCTTCTCTTCCCTAGTAGAACCAGTTGTAAGCACTTCCTGTAGAGAAGAGCCCGCTTTTGTTTAGTTTCCACTTAGCTCTTCCTTCTTCCCACTGGATGTTTCTCTGGAATTTTTCCCATACTTTCCTCATTTCTTTCCATAGATGAGAGTCACTCCCTCTTGCTATTATTTGATTTCCTTCTTCTTGTTCTCTTCCATACTTGCCTTTTAAAACTTCAACCCATAGGTCACTTGGTGTTTGTATCGTCCTCCAGAGTAATTTGAGGAGAAAAGCCTCATTCATTGCTTGTAATGATTTCACACTCATACCTCCTTCTAGTTTTGGCTTACAGAGTGTGTTCCACACAATGGCATGCCATCTCCTTTTACCATCCTGCTCACTCCATATAAAGTTCCTCTACTCTCTCTTAATATCTTTGATTACTCTCTTGGGGATCTTCTCATGCTGTATTGGGTAGAGTGACATAGAGCTAGTCACAGAATTAACAAGTGTTAATCATCCAGCAAAGGATAAACTTGCAGCTTTCCATCCTCTCAGTTGCTTCCTTATCTTCTCAACAATTGGTTGAAACTTGTCTCTTCTTCTTTTTGGAGATGAATTGTTGGCGCCCACGTACCTTCCCAGCTCCTCAACCTCCTTGAGCTTGCTTGTGCTACAAATCTCCCTCCTGGTTCTCCTGTCTACATTTGGGGAGCAGTAAATATAGGTTTTTTATTGACTCAACTTGTGTCTCGAGCAATCATCAAATTCCCAAAAGCATTCAAGGATAATTTGTAATTGTTTAGTGTTAGCCTCAGCAAAAAGAACAAGATCGTTAGCAAACATCATATGAGATGTAATAGGTCCTTTTCGACTAGCTCTCATTCCTCTTCAGTGGTTCTCTCTCGTTGTATCAAGTATCATGTGGGTGAGTTTTCCATGCCAAGCACAAAGAGATAGGGAGAGATCGGGTCTCCTTGTCGTAAACCTCTGGAAGTGTAGAAAGGTTCCATTTTGTCTCCATGCTAGAGTACTTTAGTTTCTGAGCTCTGGACACAGGCCATAATTCTTTTTACCATTTCATCTGGGCATCTAGTTCTTGCAAGATTCTCTCCAAATATCTCCAATTGATTCTATCATACGCCTTCTCTAGATCTACTTTAATGGCCATAAAACCTTTCTTTCCTCTTTTCTGCTTTATTGAATGCACCATCTCATTGACAATTATTATGTTGTCATGTATATTTTGACCAAGCACAAAACTCACTTGGAAAGGGCAGACAATTTTTTCCATGATTAGTTTGAGCCTTTGCATAATGATCTTGGATAAGCACTTACAAATCACATTGCAAAGTGAGATTGGTCTCAACTAGGTCACTTTTTCAAGATTGTCTACCTTTGGTATGAGCACAATGAGTATAGAGTTTACCTGTTTGATATTTTGGCAGACTGTACCATATGTTTCCAATCGATTGAGTGACACTTTTACCCATAATCTCCCAATGCTTCTAAAAAAAGATTGCTGGGTAGCCATCCTTACCTGGCGCTTTAAGGCCTCCAATGGCAAACATAATATTTTTGATTTTCTCATTATTAATGTCCCCATAGATGCTTCTCCATTCTTCTACAGTCACTTTTGGGCAAGAGTGCTTCATGTAGGCCACGTTCTCTAGTTGCTTTCCTCTGTGAAGAGTTTCTGGAAAAAGCGGTTTACAAGCTGACCCGTTTCGTCTTTACCTTCTATCCAGTCATTGTCTTCATTTTTTAGTACATTGACCCTATTCTTCCTTCTCCTTACATTTGTCTTGGTGTGATACAAGAATGTGTTCCAATCCCCATCATTTAGCCACTGTAGTTGGCCTTTTGGAACCACGGTAGTTCTTCCTCATCAAGCAGGCTTCTAAGTTCCTCTTGCAACTCCCTCTCCAACCTGTCCAGAAATGGATTGTGCTTATAGTGCAAGGATCATTGAATACCATCTAGTCTTCTCAAGAGTTCATCTTTCCTTTGTGCAATGTGTCCGAAGATGTTAGTATTCCAATCAAGAAGTTTAGGTTCAAGCTATTTCAAAGTTTACCACATTGCTCTTAGTTGTTCCTAGTTTTTTTCTCACCAAGTTTTTAAAGTCTCTGTGCTTCATCCAACAAGCTTCAAATCTAAAAGGCCGATTCCCCTTCGCTTCATTTTTTTCCTTTAAGAAAACAAAGAGGGGATGATGATCTGAATTGATTATGGGTCCAACCCTTATCCAAGCTTCATCAAACATATTCCTCCAAGTTGGGTTACATAGCCCGCGATCTAGGCATTTGAACATTCTATTCCCATGTAAAGTAATTGGGCCTCTTTATGTCATCTTGGGCCCCTTTGAACCTAGTTCTATTAGTCCACATTTTTCAATGTTCTCGTTGAATCTCTTGCATTTTCTCTCTTGTATTCGTCTACCTCCTCACTGTTCCTTTTCATCCCTTATATCATTAAAGTCACCCTAGAGAAGCCAAAGTGCTGTATTCCTTCCCACAATATCCTTTAGACACTCCCACAACTCTCTCTGTTCTGATTCTCGTGGACTTCCTTAAATGGTAATGAGGTTTCATGAATCACATCTTAGTCCCCTTATTGCACAATGTATGAATTGTTTATGGTGGGAAATGACTAAGATACTAATCGTGTTATCATTCCAAAGAATCTAGATTCCCCCTGAGAGGCCACATGCTTCCTCAATTATCTGGTGGTTAAAGCCCAGCTTTTTAATAACCTTTTGTGCTTTAATACCACCGCATCAAGTTTCCACCAGTATCACTATTCTTGATTTATAGCAGCTCTTGAGTTCTTTTAGAGTGATGCCAAAATTACTTCCAGTAGATCCTCTTATATTCCAAGCTAATATCATCATAAAAAACTATATAAAAGAGATTGAAGAAACCACACTTACATCAATTGGTGGTTCCTGTTTGCTAGTCGTGACTCAATCTTTCTCTGTCTTGCCAAATGAGATTCTATTTCTGATAGTCCTGCAACTTTTATTGGATTATCAAAATCAAGTGGCTTTTCCTCCTCACAGCCTATTAGCTCGTCCATATCATTTGGGAGTGAGTCTGGAAAATGTTCAACTATATGATCCTTAATTCTGTCTCTGTTGTTCTCTAACCACCTACCTTCTGACTCTTGATTCTGGCCCACTTGGTTTTCCTTCTATTAAGCCCACCTTTGGTGCCTTGGGCCTATATTGTTGCTTCTTTCTTTTACAGTTCGACCTACTATCTCTTGCCTATTTATTTCCATTTTTTTTCATCAATATTTCCTTGCCTCAGACCCTCTATGCTTCCCCCTATTACTGCTCTAGTCTTAGGTCCCACTATAGTTCCTTCTATCTCCTGCCTTATGTCTTGTGATAGGCTTGTAGATCCTACTGACTTCCCATTTGTTGTCCGTCCTTTTAGGCTTCTTCCCTACCCTTCTATAATCTTTTTTGATTGCATCGCCATCAGCTCTTTTTTCTCTTTCCCTTTTGGTACATTAGAGACGTCCTTTAGGGGCTTTCACAAAGTCACCTCTTTCTCTCTTTCTTCAAGGTTCACTTCTTCAACATCTAATGTAGCAATTCTCGAGGCGTGGATCTCCTTATTCAAATCCTTTTTTGCTTGACACATTCTGACCTTCTTTTTCCACTGGCCGTCTTTCCCTCCTCAAAGTTTGCACCAACATCCATTATCGAAATCTTTCTTCCTGGTCCTTTTCTGGCAACTTGTTCTCTCCTTCCTTTCTGATGGCCTTATTGTTAGCACCTCCAGCATGTGTGGTTTTTTCTATGGCTGGCAGCTTGAGTGGGCAGTGGTCATGGTCATGTCCAAATCTACCACAATGAAAACATATAATCTAAAGGCCTTAGGCCTTCATATTCAATCTTTAATCTATTACCATCTATAATGTATAAACCCAAGCGTGGGACATTCAGATATACTTCTACGCACATTCATGCATATATCGTTCTCGCTCTTGACAAGGTCATCTCATCCACCCTTATTGCTGTGCCTATCTTATTTTCTAGAGTACAGAAGAACTTCCTATCGTAGTAATCTCCAAGAAGTCCAGGTAATCTCACCCAAACAGCAACCTTTTGGATCTTCTCATTCCATGGGTTGAAGTTCCTCTTCCATGTTTGCACTGTTATATAATTGTTCTAGAGTAGCCAAGATCCTCCTTCTAAGGCCAAGTAGTAGTCATCCAATTCCTGGAAGGTGGCTATCATATAACCATTTCCTATAACTGACATATCAACCTTTCCTCCTTTCCCCATGAAAGCTGCAGTTTAGGCCTCAGTTGCATGAAGCCTATGCTCCCTCCCAAAAATTTCACAGTAAGGGAGTTTTTCTAGCTCTGTTCCAATCTCTTACATTCCTTCTCTGAGAAGTTTATCTGTGGTCCTAGTTCAGTATCTAGGATAGTAACCCCTTCCTTTATAACATTCTCATCGCTATACAGGAGGTTCCTATCCCAAACTTCCTCCATTTTGCTATCCTTACTTCCCTCTCTATTCCTATTCATTTTTGGCTTTAGCATAAGATAGACGAGGTTTGTCTTGCGTTTCCGATACTATTTTTGGTTCTACCATCTAGTCCTCCTCTCTCGACTGCAGTGAAACTTCTCCAATGTAATTTTTGGCCTTTCGCGCAACTTTCCCTCTATTTTCTTCCTCGCTTCTTGTGGAACTCCCTCCATCTGCGTCCTATGGTTGAGCCTCGCCAACCCCACTTCCTCCCATCTCATTTATGCTAAGTAAAAGTCCACGTAGCCCAGTTGCACCTGATCTGTCAATGACTGATCAAGAGGATGCTTCCGGGCACTTGGGTCATTGGATTGTATGGGAAAAAAAAAAAACTTAGAGCAACTCTCTCTACTTTCTCTCTTTAACTTTTTTCAGAACGATTTTGAGTGGCTAACCCTAATCTACTTATTATTTTATTTGAAGACTTTATTAATACCTTTGTGACTGTTTATTTATGGATTTATAGGTAAAGGAGAAAGAAAAGACACTGACTGAAAATCCCCAGAAGGAGAAGGACACTCAAGGACATAATTTACCTAGCTTCAATGTACCTGCTCAACAGCTACAACTTCCTACTTTAACTCTTGGGTATCTCTCTCTTTCTTTTTCTCCGTCTATATATATCCTTTATGGTGAAACATGAACTTGAAATCTCTAATGGATTCAAAACTTGGATTAATAATTAAAATTGGAAGCCTATAGAACATTGGTCAAGCGATTATAAGAATGATCTGAGAAGGACAAAGTTGAAGTTCTTAGATGTTTGTCATTATATTTTATCTAATAAGGATGTGGATGAATTTCTTTAAAGAAAATTATGTGATGTTGAGTTGTTAAGTACTAGTGCTTCTTCAAGAAGAATGCTGTGGGTGGCAGCTTATTTGCAGAAAACAAAACATTAAAATATTCCATCCCATTGCAGCGGGTCTTAAAGCAAATATAATATATATGATATATAGATTGGCTCTAGGTGATAGTGGAAGGGCGCAAAATATGTGTATTATTATCCAATCTGCTAAATAGACATATTTGAGTTCACACTCATGAGGCCATCTGATATGGATGTTCATAAGATTTCCCCCTCTTTTGTTTGTGTGTTCATTGACACTAGAAAGGATTTTCTAGCAATCGATCATTTAAATTCACTTGAAAAGATTTCTTTTTTTGTTCAAGAAACGAAACAACATATCTTATTTGATCAGTTTTGTCCCAAAAAGAATCTCCAGATTCTTTCTCCCATATAGTTTTTGGGTCTCCCTAAATGCAGTCCAAGAAATTGATATGCATACAAATTTTGTGAAAAAATATATATATTTTCTATCCATTGTGTAGAGTTTGAGAAACTAGTTGTAATGTATTTATAATTTTTAAATAGGGTATCTTGTTATAAATTCTTAATTTTATAATGAGTCTACCTATGCTACAAGTTTTCTGACAGTCCTGTTTTTTTTTTTTAAAAAAAAAGGGGTTTTCTGACAGTCATATTCTTGTATTGAGTTACCCTTAAAAATGTTACTTTAAGGTTTAAAGTCTGCAAAACTCAATTTAAAGATGCGTGTGGGTGTGACTGTAACATGATTCTCCGCTGTATTTTTTTACTACAGATTCTTAGTTTTTATTATCTTTTAATTTAATTTTCCAAGTACAGTTATCACCACATTACTAATCTTTGTATTACTTTCTAATGGCCCAGTTACCCTTACACAACATTAAACTCTCATAATATTATCTTAGACATGGAGGAATCACTAGGAAATTGGTGAGAGTTTCACGATTTGATATTTAAAAAATAAAAGTTTATTCAGTCAACCGTGAATGCTTTATTCTCTCAAAGTTTTTTTCTACGCAGAGGCATGAAAATATGGGTAAAGTTTGATTGATGATCAATATTAATAACAACGCACAAATACATAAAGCAATCAAACCCTACCATTAATAATCTATATTTTATTTTTCAAACTCTGTAATACAAAATATTTTATTCGTATATCATAAAACTATGAATTCAAATTCCTTTATTGATGAGCAATTTGTAAGTAACTCTAAGCATTTTGGATCTTAAAGATTATTTTGACTCTGTAAGTCTTTGGAATTTGTCTTATCTAAACAGTTTTCTCTAAAAAAGATCTAGTTTGATTAAGTGTCCGTTAAATCTTTCTTTTGATTGTTCATTAGTGCGAATTTACATCAAGCAAGAGGATCAGAAGAGGAAGAAGTGGAAGCTCATCAGACAGCACCCAGAAGCGCCACTATCATTCCACCATGGATGTCGCGCCACTTGATCAGATAAACTATGATGTGGCTCTGTATGGCCCTTTTTATTATTAAGTAATTAATTAATTATGACTCTATACCTTGATGATGAAGGCATAAATCAACTTTGATAAATATCCTTGTTCTAGATAGAACTGCTTCATCTTCCTGTGTAGCTTTGCGTCTTCAAGTCCTCTTTTTTGGGTTTTCCTTGTGCTCGAACGTCCTTGTGTTTTTGCCTCCAGGCATATTTGAAATGCAGCATTATGGAGAGTTCGCCTAAGAGGGTAAACAAACAATTAAAAAAGAATTCTCATGTTTAGCATAATTTGTTTTGACCTGCTAGGATTATATTTTCATTAAAATAAGAACCAAGACAAACAAAGTCCAATAAAAGACCAACAAAGAAAGGCCATCATGCTAATAGCCGAAAACAAAAACCCTAACTCTGATACTAAAACTAGGAGAGAAAGGACCACTGTCGATTTGCCGAAGTCTGTAGGGAGATAACGTCGTCACCGGTATTGATGCCAAAGTAAGGGGTGGGGGTTTGAAACAACCACCGCCAAAGGACCCACCTCTCTTGTAGGCTAAAAAGCAACCAAGAATGGTTGTTAAAATTATAGAAGAACCCATAGAAGCCGACACCTACAGTCGTCAGCCAAATATACAGCATCGGAGGAAAGAGAGCTCACCGTTGGCCGCCTATTTACAGACCCGGCTTGATAAAGCATATACCCAATACTAACAGCTTCGAATCGCCCCCACCGAACAAGACCAGCAACTACCAATAGAGACAGACACCAACAGTGCCCTTCCCCCAAAAACGTATATCCAAGTCACATTGTCGATATTTGATCTATACCCATCAAAGCAAGTGGCATTGGAATCAAAACCCACAGGGTTGATTATTGTCAGAGAGATAAAGAACGCCACCATAGAAAACTCATTACCACAAAAAAAAGAAGAAAGAACGGGCAACACAAAGGACGGACAGAGGAGGAAGACGGCATGACCATAGCTCGCACAAGGATGAGAAAGACGATTTCCACCACCTCAAGAGAGTTGAGGACGGGAGAGGAAAAACTCACCCCAAGGATGCAAATTTTTAAAGTTTAAAAGAATGGACTCTAACGACCATCATGTCCATAATGTCCATAATTATTATCAGACAACTTCTATGCATTCTAAATTGTCAAAAAAGCAAAGAACAATCATTTTATACTTCCATGATTATTCTTTTCACTGGTTTTAATATCTTTCATCTCACGTGGTGACCAAACCCATAGCATTCGAGACATCCATCAAGGCAAAAAAAAATCCCATTTAAGTATTTATCTAAACATTTTTAAAATTTTGGCCAAAAAATATTTTTAAAAATACAAGGATATATAAGAAAAGATGGAGACCGTTCCTAAATAAACATTTTTTATCGGAGATGCATTAATCAAATCACTTGTCCAAGCCCATTCAACATATTTATGGTACTTCAGCTTGGGCAATTAGCATTCCTCTTTTCACAAAAGCCCTGTTTCCTGCTGGCAAAAAAAAAAAGGAAGCCCTACTTCCATCTCACTTTTCTGCTAACTAGAATTGAAAGAACCCGAAAACAGGCAGAATTACTGCCGAAGAATGCAAGTTATATCTAATATATTCACATTTATTACAAGAGTGATGTAAATCTTCAATGCAGGCATTCAATGTCATGAAATGGTGCAAGGACCTTATTGATTATGTAGTAATCTGACCAAGGAATCCTCATCCAGCCTGGTTACTTTTGTTCAAGCAAATACAAAGCCGGTTATGAATATGTGTGAATTACAGGAAATGCATTACAATTAATACTTCAACAGTTTCAAATTTTACTGTTCTTCACATCTCTTGCACAATCATTAGCAACGAGCAAATTCTCCCTGCCATGGAAAAGTTGGCATAAAATAGTCATTATTGAGACATAAAAATAGTCATTATTGACACATAAAAGCTATGACATGGAAGAAACTGATGAAGAGACAAACTGCTGTGCCATGATGCACAGGCTCGTGAGTCATGCCCAAGCACATTTCTCAGACTTTAAAAAGTTAGATTAATAACATCCAACGGAAACCAGGGGAATACCCCAATTTCATAACAAAAGCAATACACTAATTAGAATGGTGTTTGGTACCATTTCGGCCATCATATTCTAGTTTGGGATTGGATATACAGACAACGAATTCTTAGACCTCAATTGTTAATCGATCATCTTTGCCATATCCTAACAAAATTCAATGCCGCTATTAATATCATATGAATCTCCTCAAAATATGCCAATACAAAATACCTGAGTCTGGCACAAAGCCGTGCCAAAGCATCTGAGCCGGTTCTAGCCGCAACATCCTCTACCTCCGAAGCATTAGATAAAGTCAGATTGTCTGCAAGCGTAAACTCACACAATTCCTTCAAGCAACATGCATCAGTCAGCACTGCCGAATGGCCCCCACCAGCCGCTAGTTTCCGCACTTCCCCAACGCACCTGTAATATATGCTTTAGCAACATAGGCGCCTCCACGATCATAAGAAAGAAACCATAAAAATATGAATACACACCAGTCGACAGGCGATGGGTACCACGCATATGTAGATTTCCCGTTGGCAGCCTGACCATAATTATTATAACCCCATCCATGAATTCTACCATCGCTTGTGGAAATCAGAGTGTGGCAATGTCCACATGCCATAAGTTGCACCCCTTTTGGAATAACTAAAACTGGAATATTCTGAAAGAATGTCCGAGAGTCATTGGGGACGCAAGAAAAGAACCCAGGATGGGGCCCAAGGCCTAACTGACCAGCTTGGCCACCACCCCAAGCATAAAGAGCTCCTTCCTTAGTCAAAGCACAAGAATGTGCACCACCACACGCCACATTTTTCACAAAAATATCATCAAGGGCAACAATTCGCCTGGGCAGAAGCTCTTTATCTCCATACTGGAGAGAAGAATGCCCAAGTTGACCCATATTTCCGAGGCCCCATGTGTAGCTACAGTGTGCAAAAAAAATCATTATTCAATATCATGCAGTCTGACGTGTCAATACCCCATCACCCTCAACACAGAACTAAAACAATGACTCACATAAGGGGCTAGAACTATACAGCTTTATCTAGGTATCAATTGGGCAAAGGATAGAAGAAACTTGAACTTTTTTCTTATCAAAAAGAAAAAAACCCACTTGGTTGAGTATCATCTCCAATTGTACATCTATAACGGAGTCCATACAAAGTTGAAATTTAAAATTAAAATAGAAAAAGCAAGCAACTAAAAGAAGAAAGAAATAGAACAAGCCAATATCCAAACAAGCAAGTAACAGTAGAAAGTTTAACGTGTAAAGGTTTCAAGGGTGTGATACTCCAAAAGTCTGTTAAGTTGTGTAGAAGCATAAGATTTTAAGGTATTTCTTGTATTTTCTATAATAATTATGTGAACCATCCCCATCAAGAAAGTTACCAACGGTCAGGCTGTAAGCGGGAAATCTAAAACCACAATGCTCATGCTTAAATCTAAAACTATCTCCATCAAGAAAGACCTTTAGGCCACTTACACCTCGCCCTTATCAGAGATTGCTGCTGTGTGGTACTCGCCGCATGACACTTTGGTAATCTTCACCAGCTCTGGGGTTTCATCAAGGAATTTTGAATAAGCAGTTATTATACGAGCACCTTGTAATCCTTCACAAGTAACACCACGGCCAAGTTGACCATACTCATTGTAGCCTGGTTTATGAGAATATGTTAATCACTGGATTTCATGTCATTTCACCACTTTTTCCTTGAGTTTTATGCACTCTTATATGTATTTTTCATATTCTGGCTTTTATCCTTGTTATTTTTGAGCTTATAAAATTTGTCATTTTTGCAAGGTATATTTTGGCATAAGAATAATTACGTCAAGCCACTTGGAAGTATTTGAGGATCAAGGTTGCTTTAGAATCACATTATGGTGATCAAAGAAGAACAAATAGACTCCAAATTGGATAAAACTCTTCATTTAAGCTAGAAGAACAAAATTTTCCAGATGCAAAATGAGATGCAATGTGCTCTGTCCTAGATGTGGCCTAAAATAGAGGCAAACTTGGCTGCGGCAAAAAATTGTTAAGCCGTGTGATTGGACCCATTTCTCCCATGTCTTTCATATCATTTTAGGGTCCTTTAAGAGTTTATTTGAGCCTTTATTGGCATATTTTATGATGAATTGGTGTCCTAGGCATGCTTTTTAGAGAAGATTGAGCTAGGAGCTTTAAAGAGAGGGCTTCCTTCCTTGGTTTTTCCTCTCCATCTTACTACCTCTACTCTTATTCCATGTTGTGTTGATATGTGTGTGTATTTTCATGAACTTTTTGAATATGCGTGGCTAAATACTTTGATTCTGAGATAAGCACTCATTTTCCCTATATTTGTGATTAATGGCATGATTATGTTGATTTTATGCTTAATACTTCTTGTTCCTTAATCATCAATAAGATTGTTGGGGAGAGCTAGGTTGAGTGTAAAACTTGAATTTAACCTAATCGTGTGAGAACCTGAAATTTGCGAATTAAATTGATGGTTTTGTTAATAAGATAGAGATATACTCATTAAACTCACACAGCCATATAGGGTTTGCAATGAAAATAGGGATTTAATCAATTGATTAAGATATTAATGAATTAATTGAACTAAACACCTATTTAGAGACTGAGTGAGTACTTATAGGTAATTTAGTCTCTTTGGTTAGCACAACTTATGCTTAAGAAGCAGGTATAATAAGGGGTTTGGTTGAGTAATTTTGAAATACAAAGGAATAAATAATCCTAGGTCCCTTTGAACCCTAAGAGTTGAAGAATCATTTTTCCTTTTTATTAATTTCTAATTTTAAAAATATTTCTGTTTACTCTTATATTTGTGTCACTCAAATCAGGCAAAAGTGTGATAATCAATATTGACTGGGTTTTGAAATCAAATTCTCATGCTAACGATACTTTAATCATCATTTTATTGCTTGTTACGACCCATGTACTTGCGGAGCAAATAGAATAGAATAGTAACAGTCACAGATAAGTATGCAGTAAGAAACCTACACTGTAGATACTCTTATGTTCAATGCAGTATCTCCTACATAGATAATGTGCGGAGAGAAATAATGAATGCAGAAGCAATTTACCCCAAGCTTGTAATAGACCATCTTCAGACAAAGCGACTGCATGAGCAGCTCCACAAGACGCTTCACGAATTATCTGTATATAGTGTGATAGAAAATAGACAATAAAATGCATAAGCACGCAATACCATTAACTCAAGACCAAACATAGGTCCACCGACTGGCATGACCATAAAAAAAGCATCAAGTCTACTAGAGCTGTGCAGCATCATAAAAATATAAGAATTAAATGCTATAATTCCGATTTTATGAAGTTTAACTCAACCCAAGGGAGTTATTTGAGCATGTTAAATAATTATCTGCAATTTCATTTTTTTTAAAAAATAAAGCTTCAAGACTGTGAGTGGAGTACAACATCATAAAAGCATACAAGAATTAAATCAATCCAAGGTGAGTTATTTGTGCATGTTAGTCAATCTCAACAAGGCTACCAACTACCAAGCATAAAGCAGGACAATAGAAAATGCTGCAGCATAATACAATTTACAGAAGTAACTGCATGAAGCTGCAACAGCAACAATATTCTCTGGGCCTCAAAACCCGTTAGGCCCTATAAATATATTTTGTGAAGAACAACAAGAATATACAGTACATGTTCTACTAAAGACATAAATAAAACTAATGAAATAAAAAAGCATTAAAAGCATATATTGCTATATCATATAGTACGCTATAGCCCAAAGGCATTACCCTAAACAAAAGCATCAAGTCTACCAGACCCATGCAGCATGCACATCTAAGAACAGCCAAATGTAAGAAAATGCATCAAATCTTTTTAATAGATCGAGGATACAAATGAGGAGATGATCAGAAGGCGTCTATTCTAAGCCTTTTCTTTCTACCTCTTTATTCCACTGAAAAATATTATTGCAGTCTCAGATTTATTAGCGATCAAATTCAACAAACATGACAAGATAACCAACGCAACTCAAAATGCTGCATCATTATCCTAACGTATAGCTTGTGTGTTAACATTCACGATGCCAAAACCTTTGGATGCCCATAAATGTCCCACTATTTTGATATCCTCAAATACCTTATTTAAAGGCATTGACATGGTAATGTCACAAAAGAAAATAATGGAGACGTTGTGTCATTCATACACATTGATGTATCCCTATTTTATAATATATTTTGATATACATTAATGGGATTTTATAATATTTAAAGGGTTTAAAATGCAATAGATGCTCATAGCTTGAACTAAGAAAATTATATAAATTAATTGCTTAAGCTTACATTTTTTTATTATATTTTTATAATTTCTCTTTTGAAAGGTATCTTTGCTTTGATTCTAGAGAATATTCCGTTAAACAAAACACAGGCCCCATGAAAACAACATTTATGGCAGCCACTTGGCATTAAAAGAGAATTTTTCAATTATCTCATTGGAAATTATCCAAAATATCTAACCAAAATATCTCTTATCATCCATTATAAATTAAAGAGCTTGAATAATTAATTCTTTTTGTGGATAATTCCTTTATTGTGTTTTGAAGTTGAATAAATATTTTATTCATATTTTTCATTAAATTTCGTGCTATATCCACCATATATCCATTATCCATTTAATTTTTTAAATATCCGTATTGTCATCTTTATCCTCTTCCTAAACCCTAACTCCAGGTCATCCTACCATCATATCTTTTTCAAATTTGAAACATTATCTTTTAATCCATTATCATTTAAATTCAAAAACTCTTCTTTTTGGTGACCATGAAGATCACACAAAATCAAAAGAATTCAAATTCAATTTCTATCTTTTTAAATTCAAGATATATTAAATAAAATCCTTTTCCCCAAAGGCAAGGGGTTTACAAAATAAAAGAAGATAAAAAATCAATCTAGAAGTCTCAAGGGTTTCCTCATTAAACTAGAACGAATTCAAGAGCTATAAAGGGAGATCAAGGGAGACTTGGAGAAGGAAGAAAGCCACCTAAATTGCACAAGTACAAGCATACACTTGGCTTCCTCTTGTGTCTAGCTGTTTCACTATCTTCTTATTTTCTTCCTTGATATCATTTATCCATATATGTGGCTAGTCCTCTTTGCTCTTTAGGACAAGATGACGTGGTCAAAATTCTTATTTATATTAGGGAGTTTGTTAGTTTCTATATTTTAATCCATGAGTACTTTGCTTTCATGAATTTCCTAGGTTAGAATTCTTACTTTTATGAATTGTTATTAAATTTACGTTTCAGTTGAACAATCACATTTTGAAGTTTTTAATGAATATATTTTCATTTTCCTCATGATTTTATGAGTGCTTGTTTTTATAGATTTTTGTTTTGATTGGCACAAATAGTTTATGCTCTAGGGTTTTCAATACATAATTCTCTTCAAGGGACAAATATAATTGTTTAATTGAATTCACAAGCTAAGTGATTTTTAATTGATTAATTAAAAGATAATTATAAGCTAGCTTTCTAGGTATAATAGTTACTCGGTTAATTATGACTTAGATGTTATCTAGGGTTTTCTTTTAACTTGGTAAACTGTTTTCATACAAATTTCTCATCTTTTTAAACTTTGATAGCCATGCATCAACGTCTATGGGAAGTGCATCATTCTAGCAAATTCTTCAGTTCTTTCCACTTTCTTCTAATTTTTTTTATTTTTTTTATTTTTCTCAATTTATTTCCTAAAAAATCAATCGACTTCCTTTCCTACTCCTTCCTTCTCTACATCACATTTTTTTAATTAAAAAGATTTTCAAAACTTTAATGAAGCTCCTCACAAAAAGAGACAACCTAGATTGACCTCTATACTATATAGGGTTAATTTAATTAATTAATTTGAGAGCTCACATGACAAAGCAATCACACATGGATAAGAGTAGGTCTAGGAACAAGTCTCACTTTGTTTTAAAAAGAAAAAAAAAAAAGAAGCTAAGATGTGTCTAACACATTCAAGTATTCACCCTAAAGTATTTTGCGGTGTGTTCAGCACCTGAAGCATTTTTTCAAGTGCATCTAAGATATTTTGTAACTCATCTAGTACCCTAAAGTATTTTTTAGGTGCGTCCAGTATCATAAAAGGTACTAAAAATATGCTTTATGGTACTTTTTGAAGAGTTAAAGATAAAGTTAAAATTGCTTTCGAAAGAGTTAATACTTATAAGAACAAAATTATAAAACAAAATATTTTAGGGTACTGGATGCATATGAAAAAATATTTCAGGGTGTTGGACGTACTACAAAATACTTTAGGATATTGAAAAGCCCCGCCCCGCCCCGCCCGCCCCGCCCCGCCCTAAAAAAATGAAGGGGTCCATGCAGTTGTAGAAGCTCCACAAAAACAAGCTGAGCAGGTTCAGAATTCGAACTGCAACGTTTTCTTGCAGAGATAAGATTCGCTAGATTCTGATGGTATGAGAAGCTTGATATGGTTTAGGAAAGAGCTACCTCTCAACTTTCATTATTTGTGGCTAATACAAGATGTAGATAGCCCTCCAGCAAAAAAGTTCAATAAAGGAAAACAGAGATATGAATATGAGCTGCTGTTAGAGCAAGAATGGTGGACTAATTTCACATGCATTATTTACAGCGAGGTTCAGTGTGTGCGTGCACGTAAAGGATTGGTTGCAAGAGGTCTATCATTCAATCTTAGGTATTGGTCAATATTTTGACTCAAGTACTTGTTGGCAATATCACTCATTGAAAATTGGATTATGGCTTGGAGCTGGTTCTGAACAAGAGAATGGAAGTCATTAAAAAAATTGAAAAACTTCAGATTTATCTCTCATAAGCTAAACCTAAGTTAGTCTAGCATGATTACCAATGAAGGTTACAAAACATTTTGCATTTTTGTGTGCTTTACTCTTGATGGATCCTATATATTGCTATGACCAATTGTGAATCGTTTGGTTGGTTCATCAATGCAAGAATGATAGGTGGTTTTAGTTGAAGGATAAAAGTAATGAGAAGGAAGTGGAAGAAAGAGAGAGATAAACAAAGAGAATAGAGGGAAGAGGAAGTTGAGAGAGAAAATAATACAAATAACTTACGGTCTACTGGTCTAACTAATCTGAACTTATACACTGAAAAATAAGTAATGAAAATAACGAAAAAATAGAGGATAGGAAGTTAGAATATATAAAGCAAGAGAATAAAAAAAAAAGCGTAAAATAGAATTCTATGCCTAAAGCAAGTTTTCCATATTTTTCCATCACAAATGCTTCGATGCTCTAGTGCAAGCACAGTCCTAATGCAGCAAGAAAAACTTACTGCACACTACAGCCAACTATTGTCAAATAGAATTAGCCTAACTACTAATAAGCTAGTTAATAGAGATATGAAAGGTGGAGGCTTTATCATTCACTGTCAAGACAGAACAAAACGCCCTTAAATAGCTTCTAGGACGGAGGATTTGATGGAGATCCAATCATTAAAGGGGACCCACCGAGAATTAAGATGCTTAAGAGCTCCTAATTAGTTTATTTTTAGTTATTTTGTGCTTTATTTACTTAAGATTCTTTATTTTTTTAGGATTTTCAAATAAATCTTTTGAATAATTCATTAGATATGTTATTTTAGAAACATGAATTGCCAAATAGGGATCTCAAGGATATTGTCTGACATCCTTTATTTCCAAACTATCTTACATCTTATTACTCTATCATTGATTTAAACTTCAATAGATGGCATCTTATCCTTAGAATATTTTTTAGATTTTTAGATTAATTTTAATCTTTAGAGCCTCATTAGAATTTTCTCTATTTAAAGATTCAGTTGTATCAAGTTATGAAGTTATGAACGAAAATTCTCTGACAAGTATTTACTTGTGTTTTTCTATTTGTGATAGAATACGAGTAGGTTGCAAGAGTTTGGTGTCTTTGTGGAGCCTTTTTTTTTTTTAAATTAACTAAGGATTTCGAGACAAGTTCTTCTTGGATTTTATCTAATCAACTTTTATTATTTTCAAGTTTTTTTATTTTTGTATTTCTTGGGTTACTAGAGGAATCCCTATCAGGATTTAGGAGGACGAACAACAAAGTTGGCTTTGAAAACTTGGGGGCTACACATTTGACATACAATACAAACAGGAAAAGAAAAATAAGACAATTATCATGACAAAATATATGCATGAGGCGGCGAGCTTTTGTGCAAGCACCATCTGAAACCAGAGTATTAAGGAGGAGATACAAGACTATATGCTTTCTCAAATAATTCAATAGGTTATCACCAATTGATCTCCACATGAGAAGTACAACCTTCAGGGCGACTGTTTATTATATAAAAGCAGACTAATTCTACCCAAAAAATCGCCAAGGGTTCAAGCATAAATCAATGTATTTCACAGTTCTTTGGGGGAATTCACAGTATTTTCATATGCACGTAGAAGTGGCTGTAAACAGTCTACCGGGGAGATATGAAGAGAGATGCAAATAGTTTTGTGGCTATGCGTGACATTTGCCAAAAGAATAAAATTAGTGTTGCTATCTAGCAGGTTTGATCCAGCCCTTAGCGACATCTTCAAGGTTGACAGGCCATCACACAGATTGCATCATGTTTTGACCTTAATCAAGGAGATTTGACACCATCTTGGAAGAAGTAGACTGCCTAACTAATTATGCTCATTATAACCATATTCACCCTCTTTAAGTCATTCAGAGTGTGTGTCTTGTGAGCTCTTGCGCAAGAGCCTCCTTCATTTTCATACAAGCACCTCAACTATTTGTTATGTTACATTGCTCATTTAGGATTACTATCTCTAAAATGAGGCATGAGCACCAGATGGAAACTATGATCAAGTTATTTAAGCCAAGGATTATTGGAGATCATATTATATTTTTACTAAAGAGCTATATGTGGTTAATGGTGCCCATGATGAAATCCAACATGATCGAGGCCTTTATTTGATGGATTCCATCCATTATCCCTTGTTAACCAAGGTTAAAATAGCAAAGAATAGTGGCTATGCAGATGATAATATTTCTTTTCAATTTAGAATTAGTTAAAATATTACACAATCTGTGTGCTAACAATGTTTTATCTATTAACGAGTTGAATGTTGAAAACACGAGCTAAATATCAAGAAATATCAAAAATAAGTTTAGAACTCAAAACACGTGAAAGGTGCAATACATGCAACAAATATATATTTTACCATATAAGGTTTAAAAGCACCCCAAAATAAGCGAGGAAGATTTGAAGCCTGTGGTACAAAGAAGAAATCGACTTTAATCCACCAGATATATTGGAAAATTGTACCAAATGATGAAGCACAGGAGGTGAAAAGGAGGAAGAAAAAGGAGAAATTGGGAGCAAAATTCACAAAATAAACTGATATTCTTTAACAGCTACTAGACTTACCTGATTCTGCCCCCAAACCCAGAGCCTTCCAGATGGCCTGGCACCATCCCTCACACGGGGTTCTGAAATGCAAGCAGTACAATGGGCTCCACAGGACACAGATTTTACAAACTCAGATTGTAACTGTTTTACCTTCTTGGGACATTTTCTTTGGTTCTCAGTTCCATCACCCAACTGGCCAAAGTCATTAGCCCCTGCAATAAGAATACTACTATCATATTAGTCTAGATTTAAATATGAATTATTGCTAATAGATTACAAGCTCGCAGTGACCAGTGTAAATTGAAGATTAAAAAAAAAAGAAATTCCAAATCTTCTTGACATCTATACGGATTTTGACTATCACTGAGTTATATGAAGAAGGGATACAGAACCCAGAAAATGTCCAAACCCCAAGTAAACAGAGACCCATCAGAGGCTATTGCTGCTGTATGCTCACGACCACAAGCAACATCCAACCAGCGTGCATTTAAACCAGCTGGGCATCCAAATAGCTCAGGAGGCAGCTGCTTTGGAATCCGCAACTGGTCGTTATCCTCCTTTCTACCTGTCTGCCTAGATTGATTGTATCCCCACACATAAATTGCACTCTTCCTTGGAACATTCACAGGTTGAATGATGCCAAAAATATCATCAATATCCATAGATTGACCTTAGAGTCTAACAATAACAATCCAAGGGAACCAAGTAGTTAATACAACAATTAATTGACAAGATGAAAAAACTCATTTGCAATTTGTAATAAGAAAAGACACATGATGATTATGTAATAATAATGCAGTTTCATGGTGGCAAATTCAAAAATGAAAAAATGGAAAAAGAATTGAGATTTTTTTCCCATCGCAGTTCTTTCAAAACTAAAGAACCAAGGTTTTCAAGGTGTTTTGTATTCCCCAAACTTTCAGATATTAAATAAACTAGTTTCAACGCGCTAAGGGAGGAGTTAGAATCAAATGTTTGAAGGCCCATTATATCATATCCCAAGCAGTAAAAGGGATCTAAGTAATGAAAGAAATAATCCCATTACATCTACAAATATTAGAACACTTACCGACTGAATGCCATATTATAAAATCCGGAGCAATCTAAATCAATAAACTTGCAAAACTTGCAAATTTTAGGAAAACCAAGAAACTTGAAAATTTCAAGAAAATGGCTTCAAGAAACCAAAGTCAAGGCAAGTTGAGCTGCTATATAACTCGGAGGCACTATCAGGAGCTGACAGAAAATGCGTTCACACGATTTATAGCAGGGATGATCAACAATTTGAGATGAATTGAGAACGAAAAGTATAATGTCACGGCAAGAAAGAGCGAAATTTTTTTTAGTAGATTAGCACCGTACAAGGCCCTTGATGAGAGATTTTCGAAAACGAGAAGAAAAGGAAATTCAATATCAGTAAAACCGTAATCGAAAGCGAAAGATATGGGAGAGAAACATACCCGACTGAGAGAGGAAAGAGTCATTCAATTGTCCAAGAAATGCAAAGTACTGTTTGAATCCACGAAATGCAGGCAGTTAAAATGGCTAGAAAGTTAACCCGTCGTTGCTCCGAGACCTTAGGAAATGGGGCCAGCGTAACGTATTGCTTCCCGCTGCTTTAAGAACCCCGCGATATTCCAGACTTTTCTAGAGGAGAGAAGTTTTGGAGACATTTTTCAGGGTGACGGTGCTTTTAATAAGGGAATAGGGGGTGAGGGGATGTGAGGATTTAAAAAATTAGGGGAGTAGTGAATTTTTAAAAAAGAAAAAATATAAGATAAAAAAATAATTAATGAAAATTTTAACTCAATTTTATCAATTTTTTAAAATAAGTTCATTAAAATTTTTCTTCCCCTCCCCTCTTCTCCCCTCCATTTCTTTTTACTTTCCTCATACAAACAAAGTCTTAGGAGATATTTGGGTGCATATTCAAATTATGGTTTTAATTATTGCGAAAATCAGGATTTGGAGAAAAATCATCCAAATCCTTTTTTTTACAAAATTATTTTTGAATTTAAAACCATGGGTTGGGATACAAAACCATGGTTTGAGATATAAAAATATATTTAATCAATATATATGCACACAGCTTAATTATTAATTATATAAATAAAAATTAGTTTTACATATCTAATTCTTAATATAAGAGCTAACTAGAAATTCAATTTGGTTTAAGGAACAAAAAATTAGACCAATCAAAGAAGTGATTTAAGGATTAGTAGATCAAATGGGATCAACTCAAAGTTAAATCGGTAATAATTACAATAATGTTATTTACTTAATATATGTAAAAATATTCATATTTTAATTATGAAAAATATAATAAATGAATACCCACATAACAAAGTGTTTGTATGTTAAATTCTAAGGTTCAAAAAAACTGGACCAATATTAAATCGGTCAAGATAGTGGTTCAAAGATTATTGGGTCAGATTAGAGTCAACTCAAGATTAAACCAATCATATTAAGATAATAAAATTTTATTGACAATAATATAATTTAATCTATTACATTTTATTTTATTTTTCATTTTATACTTTATAAAAATTGATTAATTAAAATTTGGATATTTATAATTAAAATTTTCATTTAATATTTTATACATGTGGTTATTGAATGTTATTTTATTTTAAGCACATTTTAAATATTCATTATGGAAAACAATTGTAGTTAAATAAATTATTTTTATTTTTATTTTTTCTTAAGTAAATTTTCGTAAATAAGAATTACGGATTTAAAGGGTTGTTTTGTCATTTACGTCTTTTAATGTTACGTTTAGATTTTCTGAGAGATGAAAGCAAGCTGCCGTTTTGTCTTTCTCAAACCTATAGCGCTTTCATTTGCTTAAACACGTTTTACGTAAATCGAGATAAAATTTTTCTTATATATTTGTCTTGTCACATCTCAATTTTTAAGTCTAGAAGCTTTGGAAGTAACTTAAAGAAAGTAGGCTACTAAGCCCCTTTTAGCAGAGATTCCAAAGATAAAAAAAGAAGTCAATACAGTTTTTGGGACTAATTCACAAAGTAAAGGTTTTCAAAGGTTAAAATATAATCAAAGTTAGAGATTCTAATAAAGTCTTAAAAACCCAGAAAAGAAAACAGACTTGATACAGGCTAAGCGTTAAGTTAGAAGCTTCAAAGAGATGTTTTATAAGGTTGAGCCCAAGTAGGGGTAAAACCATAAATTTAGAAAGTTACGGCCTTTAAGGATAAAAATGAAAAGTACACAAAAAATTCTAAAAAAATCTCAAAAAATAGAAAATAATATTCTAAGACTCTTCTATGAAGATAAATGATGAAAATACCCCTAAGGCAACTTAAATGGAATTTTTTAAGGTTATGATAGGTAAAAAGTACACTGTTTGAGGTAATTATTTAAAATAGCAAGAAACCTAAAAAATGTATGCAAAAATGAAGTTGAATGGTTGAAAGGTTATACTAATTTATAAAATTAGTCCCACAACCAGAAGGCCAGTAAAATGGCTTTAATAAAAATATAAAGCTGATTATGCTGATAAAATGACATTTTAAAAAATGATTTTTAAGTGGGGCCTACAAAATGAGTTATGACTTGAGAAAATTCATAGATTTTATCTAAAAATAAAAAGAGTTTTTGAAGCAGACAGAGTAATTTTTAGAGCTCTAGAAAACTAGAAAGAAGCCTCGAAAAACAAGAGCTAAGTTAATCGATAAAAATACCTAAGAAAAAGACAAAAGTAATGATGGCTTATTAATACATCATGTGAGGTAATCATGACACATGTGAAAGCATTAAATAGGAGAGAGGGGGTAGTGGAATGAGACAAAACTAACATGACAAATATATCAGTGCTCCAGGAGATCAGAATTGAGAAAGGGACCAGTAAAGTGCATTGATAAATTGTAAAGGTACACTTGCTTTTTACTTGACCTATATTACGCCACTTGTCAAAGTCCTTATGGAAAAGATTTTGACTTTGAATATCAATTTCATTTGGAATTATTTTAAGAATGGAAATTGAGTAAGAAACCTTCACAAGTTGACACTATCATTGTAAATTGAGTGAACTTGAAGGGCATTTTGGTCCATTCAAGCTAAAGTTTTGGCTATAAATAGACACTCCCTCCCCCTTCATTTTGGCCAAGTTGGAGAACAAGAGGAAAAACTCTTGCCATTTGGATTCTTGAAGCATAACCAAAAGGAAGCTACTACCTTTGATCAACCAAGCTTGAATCTAAGGTTATTAAGTTGATCTATGTTGTTTCTTGCTTTGTTTCCTTGAGTTTGATGGTGGAAAAATCCATTCTTCCCTCTTTAATGTTGCTAGCTGAAATATATAGGGTTAGGAGGTGGAAGTTTTGATGTTATATCTAGTTAAAACCCATTGATTCAAGGTTGTTTCAAGTGGTTTTATGTTAATATTTGAAAGATTGTATGGTTTGGTTATTGGGTGTGCTGTTTGTCCAAGCTAAGATCTATATCCTAGGATGAGATTCTCATAGTTTTGATACTTCCATTGTGTTTAAAATGAAAAATGGTGTATGGTAAACCTAAAGAACAAGTATTGGAAGCATTAGAATTAAAGTTGGGATTTTTGGAATTCAAACCCCCCTTTTTGGCTAACACTGTTTCATAGGGAAGGAGTTTTCTTTTTATGAATTCAAGCTCATATTTGGATTCCTTGGGCAAAATTGTGTAGAATTGGCCTAAGGAAACAATTTTTACAAAGCTAAAACATTAATCCAAAATTTAGAGAAATGGTTAAGTTTAATAGAGTTAGTCTTGAACTTTATATAATTTCTTGATCCTAATAGATTGTATGATCAATGTGACTATGTTTAAGATCTTGGAACATCCAAGAGGATGTTTGTTATTATTGACTGAAAGTCCATATGGTTGGGAAGTCAAGGGAATCAAACTTACCTATTGTCATTGCTTGATATTGTATGCTTCTGTGTTGATGTGTACATGTTACTTGAATATTATTGTGACATATTTTGGTCACTATAATTGCTGTTTATGATAAGTAGATTATGTCTCTATGGCCATGCATCAAAAAAGTAGCTTTGAGCATGTTAATATGTCACTAATTAACAAGAGAATAAGCAAGTTGCATGCAGTGCATTAGCATCCATCTAGCATGATTAATAGGTATTGTTTGCTATTGAAATTCTCCCAAATCTCACCCCCTCCCTAACTAACCATTTAGGTCAATCAATGATAGGTAATAATGGCATGAGAAGCAAGGAGAAGAAAGTGGAGAACTATTGAGGTTAATGCATGAGATTATGTTCACTTTATAATTCTCCTATTTTGTAAATTATATTTATCAATGCCCATGATGCAATGTATATATTTAGAATATCTATAGCATGAATGGAAATGTATGAGAATGAAGGAGAAAGAGTAAGCCCAAGTTTTGTATGTCAAAGAAATAAAAAGAATTAAAGCAAGCAAAGATAAAGGGATAAAACATAGGTCCTGAAGCAGTCAAATTTGAGCTTTAGTTTGACCTATCGAATGAAGGAATTAAGCCATGAAATTTGATATGCCTATATTACACATCCCAAGCTTTAAAATGAGAGGTAAATCACCTCAATTGGACGTGAATACAAGGAGATATGAATTTTCATAATTAAGGCATAGAATCTGAAAGTTCCAAAACTTACCAAATGAACAGTAAAGTTTAATGAATTAACTGTATGAATTGACTAAAGATTTCAAAGAGCTTTTCATAGAATTTTGGAACACCTCTATACAATTTTTCTAGAATTAGTTATGATTTTTCAAAGTTAGACCTGTAATATGAAAATTGCATAGTGAATAGTGATTTTATGAAAAGTAACGTCCAGAATGTAAATTTTGAGTATAAGACCATCCAATGTGGTCAGATATGGTTCTAAATAAACTCTAAGGCATCCTAGAAGTAACGTGTGATATTATAAGTTGTTCCAAATAGGCCATTCTTATTCAAGCGTGCTTGACTGAGGCCAACGCAGGCAAAACATCGGGTTTGAAGTTGCTATCTCTGCAAAATAGGGTAGGGGTTTAGAGGCTGAAATTTCAGATTGAAGATTTCATGGGAGTAAATCCTCATCAGAATTGAAGCCACTAATGTGCTCTTCTAAACTTCTCTCTAGCGGATCTTTATACAAACTAAATAACTATAAACCACTCAAAATGAAACTTATAAATTGGATCAGGCCCTTTTTTAAAAGTAAAGCTTATATATAAAACTGGAAGGAGTATATATCTACATTTCTGTCATTTCTGTCAATAGCACTTACCCGTAGTTTATTTGTGTCTAGCCACTTCCTCATGAAAGAATATTTATATACCAAAATATAAATACATACACATTTATATCTTCCTTCCAAATTAGCAAAATATGGGAAGCATATTTTAAAAAAATATACAAAATAGATTTTTCAACCTCCTCCACCTTGCTTTATCAATCACAACTCCTTTGTCCTTAAAAGTACTTGCTCTTGATGTATAATATAGAAGAAAGGGGTGAGTTTCTAAAGAATCCCAGTAGTAACAAAATCCCTTCATGTAATCACATAAGATCACAACAAACATGCTACCTAGGCCAAAAAAACAATGCCTTGCAACCAAATATAATTGGTGATGCACAAGCATCTTATACTTACAT